TTGCTGTATGGTAACCAGAGGCCTCAAACTAGGGGCCCCCAAGCTGTATCCTGCCTGCAGGTGGGTTTTGTTTGATTTGTGGCTTTTAAAAATAAATTTAAATTCATTGCCCGCCATTAAAAATGGGCAGTTTTACCTAAAAGTTTGGATGTCTTTATTTTCTTGAAAAATTATATGGTCTATGCCAGGTTCACTATTTTTACGTGGTAATAATTGGGTAGATTGGGTAGCAGTTGTTCATACTTTGCCTGCCTAAGTCATTTCTCTCACTTGCCTGGCCCCTGTAGGCAGTTGAGTTGATAATCCCTGTTAACATCTTAATTTGTTGAGGTCTTTGGAGAAAAAGGTATTATAGATAAGGAATAAATTCAGAAAATAGACACTAAGTTCATTAATATTAACAGCTGCTGTCTGCTGAGTGCCTAGTGTATATTATCTCATTTTATTCTACAACACTACAGCATTTACTATTCCTGTTTTATGGTTGGAAAAATTTGTCGTTAGAGAAGGTAAGTTACAAATTAGTAAGTGACAGAGTTGGCTCCTCATTTCTAGACCTGGGATCCTTTACCTTTATATACTGCCTTTTCTAGCTTTTCTTGTTGAACCATTTAGGCAGAGGCAATGTTTAATGATTTCTAATTTATTAAATTATAAGCAAGAATCTATTTTGGAGGCAGTGTTTTTAGAGGCTTGGAAATAACATAAGTAAAATTTGGTTTAGAAATTTTACATGATTGCATATTTGTGGATATAGCACACTATTTGATAATATTCTCTGCTATTAACTTGCTCACTTGGTAAAGCTAGTCTGAAGAGTCTTAGACATCTAATCATTACTGTTTTTCATTTTTAAGTATTAAAAGTTCATTCAGGAAACCTGTGTATTTGTCAAAGATAAAATTAGTAAAAATTCTAGGAATGGTAATATTATAAATAGTAGGTGGTTCTTAGGAAGGGAAGTTTTTTTTTGTTTATTTGTTTTTCCTAGAAATTATGTGATTTTCTCAAATACTATAATTCTGAAGGTTGAACTACTTTGATTATTCTTAAATTTTTTAATATTTAATGTCATTTAATTTTAATATTTAATATTTAATACATATGGATATGTTTAGACTGCTGACTGTTAGAAGGAATCATCTGGTGATATACTTTGATGTTTTGGGAGGAACTCCATTCTAAGAAGTAGAGCTAGATGACTGAAAATATTTTTTTTTACTTGTATTTGAAATGTAAGACCCATTACCATTCATGAAGGAAGAATTAATACTTTAATGGTGAATGCAGTCACATTGCGAATGGAATCTTTCTTATTCCTAATTGGCATGTCTTTAGTGGTAGCAGTGTGGTTGTGAAAGGGTACAAAATGTAGAATTTAGGTACTAATAGATGTAGGTACTGGAAACATGGCAAAGAAGGGAAGATGTACAGAAGAAATTAAAGGTGGTCAGAAATTATTTAAATCAATAGAAAATTGTAACTTGCTATTTTATTTTTCTTCCTTAGAACCTATCAAGTGAAGGTGTATTTTTGCTTTTTAATTTGGCTAGAAGCAATTTATTTTTAAAGAAAATATGTCTCCTCTGAAGATACATGGTCCTATCAGAATTCGAAGTATGCAGACTGGGATTACAAAATGGAAAGAAGGATCCTTCGAAATTGTGGAAAAAGAGAATAAAGTCAGCCTAATAGTTCACTACAATACTGGAGGAATTCCAAGGATATTTCAGGTATTACCAAACTTTGATTTGGAATAGATCTTGAATAAGATCCTTTAGTAAATAGCTGTTCTGTACTATAATAAATATTACAATAGCCCTCCTAGATTAATACTAATATTTCTTCTTATTTCCAGGACCTTAATACTTTTGTGTACACGTTTTATGAATTATTCAGCAGCA